TAAAGTCTGCATGGAGTTATGGTTGCCTTTTCTTGTTTCTGTTCAAAAAGACTCTAATTTTCACTTGGAACTTTATCTTGCTAACCTAAGTTGAAGTGACTCCAGAGAGGATTTCGTTTCCCTCCAACAGTTTTAATGGGCACCATCCACACAGAATCACTTTAATTATGTGTTTAAGTGCTTTCAGACCGCACTACTAGCACAATTCAAATTATAATCCTGTAAAAGGCTCATCCCGTGATTAAAAACTCTCAAAAAAGATTTTTTTTTCCTTTTCCACCAGGATAGAGCAAGACAAAGACAGGTAAGTTTCCATCCTGCCACCTTTGCACCTCACACTGCAGATGTGGTCCCACAGGCTTTAATCAAGGGCTCCTAGCAAAGTCTCTACCTAAAGTGACCCCTGTATTTCATCTCCCATCCTCAGGGCCCCATGGAATCATCAAAGCAGAAGGTCAATGTGTCCAGGACCTGGAAGATAACTTTAGGGGAAAAGCCCAGCTTTGGCATTCACTCACCTCTTTTTGTATCCTTACTTATACTTGACTATGTTCCATTTGGTTAAGATTACAGTTGACCTTTGAACAACACAGTTTGAATAGGAGGGGTCCACTTATATACAATTTTTTTTTCAGTTAAATGTGGATGGAAAATATATTATTCATGGCCTATGAAACACACATATATGGAGCACCAACTTTTTGTACATGCATGTTCTACAGTGCAGCGATGGAACCTGTATGCTCTGGATTTTGGTATTGGGGTAAAGGGGCTGGAACAAATCACCTGGGTATACTGAGGGACCATTATACTGCATAATTAACCTAATGGACCATTATATAATAAACATAACTCCAATTAACTCCCAATTATTTTTATATAAATGTCAGCCAGTATTTATAATTCTACATCCATGTTTATTACTCCATCCATAAACCATTATAAGTACCAAAATGAACTCTTTTAAAAAACCTTAAATGTAAAATTTTGTGCTTTCATCCACTCACTTTTAGCTATTCCCAAATGTATGTAAGAAATTTAAAAAGAGATGTGAGGGAAAAATCAATCCATTAAATTTTTATTTATGGATACTACAAGTATACCACCACGTAGAAATTTTCAGGCTGCTCTGGTCTTTGAAATGAATGTAAAGCACCTTCTTTTAACTGTCTCTTTTATTCTTTCAGTGCAATACAAAATGTCTTCCAGAGGCCTCCTCAATCAAAGCTGAATCACAATGCACAATTTCTTTTACATCATTCCAAACAACTGTAAGTTTGGAGTTTACATCACCAGCGTAAAGTACATCTGAGATACAGGGCTAGAAAGGGTGGGCTAAATGCAGGGAGCATTTACAGAATCAGGGTCAGAAAATCCAAAAGAAAAAAAAAAAAAAAAAAAAAAAAAAAAAAAAAAAAAAAAAAAAAAAAAAAAAAAAAAAAGAAAGAAATGTAGAAACCAAAATATGGTCAGCTGCAAAATATGGGTATTGAACCAGAGGTCAAACCTAAGAAAACCGTAGGTCAAAAGCATCCTGTCCATATAAGAACCAATAGTAAAATAAGATAAATGAACACAGGCAACATCATTGTTTCAGAACTGACCTCAGGCAGTGTTTCTGAAACTTAAGCATGGGCCAGAATCACCTATAGACTACTAAGACAAAGAGACCTGGGCTCTGCTCCCAGAGGTTCTATCCCTGCAAGTCTTGGATAAAAACTGACAATTTATATTTCTAATAAGCTCACAGGTGATGCTTATTCTGCTGGCCCAGAAAGGAAAAGACTAATATGAAGACTTTGATGGGTAGCCCTTTTTTTCTATCCAATTTCTTCTGCAGAGAAGCTTTCCAGCTTTGAAAGAGGTAATATCATTGTGACCTCTACTTAGCCACTGGGAGTCAAGAAGGGATTAAGAGTTAGAATCCTTGAAATGCTATATGATCGATAGTGGGGAAACTTCTGGAAACCTTTTGAATAGTGAACCTCATCAGGGTCCTTAATAATCTCTCCCAGGTCCAAGCCTAGAACAAATTTTTCATGTGCATTCTCTTAGCAGGGATCCTCTAACATTAAATATTTGCCTAACCAATTCTGGTTTCAAAATTTTCAGCAAAGTAAATATTACTTTTTCAACTGTTTCTTACTTAGTCGTCATTTAGTAAATACTGCAAAATTTCTGCACTGATTGGCTATAACAACTGGCTGGCCTTACAAATATAATAGCCACAGGATATCCATAGTATTAGAAATCATTTTCATCAAACAGCTATTCTCAATGTATCATTGATGTTTTCCTATTCACTTCAAAATTTTAAATTCTTACATTCATTAATTTTTATTATGTAATGGGATACAGATCATAATAGAGTCCATAAAATCTAGAGTTAATTTTAAATCTGTTTTTAAACTTAAGAGCAACAGGAGCTCTGAAAAATCTCCAATGAAAGTATAAAATGACACATCTACTTTGAAAAGCTCATCACAGGGGAATGGATACACTGAAACAGAAGCCCAGTTGCATGAGCCATGAATAAATTGTGATCTATTAATACAATAAAATCCTACTTATTGAGCAATACTATGCATGCCTCAGATTTGTGGGAGTTCTTTTCCCCACAGCCAAGAGGCATTTCCAGGTCAATTCATTGGCAGGCTGGCTCCAGAAACAGGGTTGTAATATACTAATGCTATTCACAAAATATTAGCTTGATGAAGAGGAGGCAAGCTACTTTCCTTAGTAACTAGAATAGTTAGAAAAATAAGAATAACAAGAAAAATTAGTAGTAGTAATAATACAATGAACAATGAATATGCATATGATATAGCAATATTCATTACTTAGTAATGTTCTAATATTGTGCATAGTTTTAAGATGTTATTGTAATAAAAATAAACAATGAACATTCATCCAATGTTCCTTACTTAGTAGTAATGTTCTATTATTGTACAAAATTATAATATTATTGTAATAGAAATGAACAATAGATATTCATACAATGGACTACTACCCAGCAAAGAAAAGTGAATCAACTACTGATGGTTTAGTCAACATATTGAATTCATTCAACAACATGAACAAATCTCAAAAACATTAGGTCGAGTAAAAGCAAACACAAAAGAATATATGCAGTGTGACTGCATTTATATAAATCCCAAAAACATGTACATATAATCTGATGGCAACCAGAAAGCGGCTGATTTTGGCACAGGGAGAATGGATCGAGTGAAGGGTCAGGAAGAAGCTTCTAGGAGTGATTAAAAATCTTCTATACCTTGTTTTGCACACTGCTTACATGGATATATAGGTCTGTCAAAAACTCATTTATTGAAGCTTAAATCTATGCATTTTACTGTATGTGAATTGCATCATAATTAAAACATGTGTTTTTAAACTTAACTGTAAGGAAAAGAGTGATTTGCCAAGATAATGTTTCTTGAATTCAATATAAAACATAATTTAGATAGAACAAATCATTTGCTATTTAAAATTTCTATTACAGTGAAGAAATTAGCAGTCACAGATGTATGTTTATTAAATCAGGATTTTGAGCTAAAAAGAGGATGACCAAACCTCTCAGTCTGCTTTACACATAGGCACCCCAGTATAGACCTGCTAGCACAGCATAATTGTTAACGGCACCTCCTTCACAATCAAAGGCATCCTGATTTAAATGAAGAAAGACCTTTATGGTCACTTCAGCTAAAAGGAATCTTAGACATTATTTAGTAAAATTAGCTCATTTACTTTTCCTTTTCTGTTCAATCCATATCTACTCAGCACCTACAATGTAGTTAAACATAGTCCCTTTGTTGTTGCTACCACTTCACAATGCCTCTTTGTTTCCATGATCAAAATATAAAATGGTACATGAATTTTTCTTAAATGTAAAATTTACACCTGAGGACAAACTAAATACCAAAAAAAAATTCAGGATTTTTTTTTACAAGGAAAATATAAATCAAGCATATGGGGAAAAAAAGATATAACTTTTTGAGCTATAAAAAACAAAGTATATAAAGATATTTACAAATATAAAATAAAGAAAACCTTTACCTGCTGCCCTGTAAAGTATTTTAGGTTCAAAAAATATACAAGGATTTTTATCCTCTATGCATGACAAAAGAAGTCCTTTGGCCTGGAAAGGGCTTCTGGGTATAACCACCTGCAAAAACAGATTTTTTAAAGACAATTTTAGTAAAATATATCCCAGTAAACTCACTTCTAAAAAGGGTTGATACTTGAATAACCAATTGTTACTAATTTAAAATAGATAATGGGTATTTATTTTTAGTCTCATTATCACTTATTAAGTTTATTACATAAAAATAAAAATGTCTTTTATTCAACAGATATTTATCAGATGCCTACCATGTTCTATTAACTAAGACACTACTCTTAAGAAGCTAAACTTGCCTATATAAAAAGTAAAAGGACTACACAAAGATCATTCATCGAACCAAAAAATGTAGTATTGTTAAGATCTACCTGTTTATCTATAAAGAAATCTCTTCTACTAATAATCTCCTGCTACTTTCAAAGTACATGCAAGTCTCTTCTCCAGTTTTAGCATGTTAAAATCTCCTTCTTTCCCATGAAAAAAATATGGTCTTCATTTCATAAGTGAAAAATTTATCCACTGAGTTTTACGATCCGGGCACCAAAGTGTCCAGTTATGGCAAAGCAAAAAGAAAAGTGTGGATAGTTCACATTTCCACTTCACAGGAAAGGGCCCCAGGAAATTCTTGAGAATGAAGGTGATGATGAGGAAAAAGATAATGACAGTAGGGAGTACATGTGTAAACTTGGCCAAGTACTCTGTGAATTAATTCATCTACTATTCATAGCAACCCCACTAGGTAGCTATTATAATTTTCCTCATTTTAGAAATAGACACTGAGGTTTAGAGAGAACAAGTAGCTTGTCTAAGGTCAGACTGCTTGCTTGACCAGAGATTCTCCCCCAATTCCCACTGATAACAAAGTTCAAGCTCTTAACTTCTATATCATGTTGCCTCAAATCACAAACTTTGTCTAATTTTAAATGATTATAAAATAATTGTATAGAGACAAATCTTACACAGGAAGAGTTATGAAAATAAACCTGAGTTTATCACAAAGACTCAAGATTTCCTGAGGCAAGCTATATTCGGCTTTCAAAGCCATTTTTATTGAAGGGTTTTATTTTAAAAATAAAAGAGAAAAAAATAAAAATAAAAGAGCATCAAAAATGTCACTATTTTATTTTCTGTCAATGGACCTCTGAACACACTAATAACCACGTCACACAATGTCTTTATCTTATATTCCTACTTTTTAGTTTCCCTTTATCTGCTTTCTTCATATTAGCCTTTTGTACTTTATGTATAGGTTCATTTTAGCTGGAAGAAAAAAAGAAAAAGAGGAAGAAAGGAAATGAAGGAAGAAAAAAGAAGGTAGGGACAGACAGAAAAGGACTGTTCCTAAAAACAATATAATATTATAAATATTAAATGTGAATTAATGTTCCACTCAAGCACAAAAATAACTTGCCTCGAACATGACTTCTTTCCCACTCTACAACTTCTAGCTCACTTTCTAAAATCAGGCAACCTCTACTCAACTAAGATAAGCTTATAATTTTGATCTGGTAGAAAAAAACAAACAGGAAAACAAGAATAAAACATAGACAAATGTTCGCAACCAATTCATGTGGTCAAAAAACAAATATACATCTCTGGATTCACACATCTGTGGGTTTCTATAATGATCCCCTGAAAAGCTTATTCAGTAAACAGAAATAGAAAAGATGATAATACGAAAAATTAGGACATAAAATAATCAAAATATTTTAACCTAAGCTTTTGTGAAAGACAGGCTATTAAAAGGAGATGCTTCAAAATTAATTGGTTGAGCAAGTATTACCTTATTTTAAACAGAAAAAAAAAATCTAAGTAACAGTCTTCTCTCAGTCTTTTTAACAAGTAAGAAATAGATGAAAAGCAGAAGTCATATCCCTCTGACTTTGAGGTAAACACAGACTAAACAGAAGATTTATTTAAATCACCCCATCAGCACTTAAGTGAGAAAGACTTAAGTTAGAAAGAAACATAAAGCTTTGAAAGAGAGGGGAGGTAAACCAGCTATGTTCTTGGTCTTATTCTTTGAAGTCTATGAAGTTAATTAATGCCAGAGTATAAAACCAGTGCTGCTTCAAAAAGAACTTTCTATAAAACTGGGCACTGGATAGCATACTTGAAAGAACTGCTAACCTCCCTTTCTTAAATATAGTTAAGTTCACATAAATTCCAAGAATCCTGTTTGTTTTCTTTCCTCTAGGTAAGCATAGATATTAAGAGAATGAACCAAAATGGAAAGATCAAATAGAAAACAAATAAAGTACATAAATGAGAATACCTTGATTCCTGGACAATGGGCAAAAAATGCTTCAGGACTTTGAGAATGGTACAGAGCCCCATGGCCAACACAGCCCCAAGGGGATCGGATAGTGAGGCTTCCACAGTTAAAAAGATCCCCAGAGCGATAGCGATACTTGGCAGCTTCATTAACAATCTGAGGGACAGAAAGAAAGTGCATGGCATAATGAGTCCCTCCCTTCCAATCCATCCTCTTTCTTTCTTTTTTTTTTTTAGAGAGACAGGGTCTTGTTCTGTCACCCAGGGAGTGCAGTGGTATGATCAAAGTTCAATGTAGCCTTGGACTTCTGGGCTCAAGTTATCCTCCCGCCTCAGCCTCCAGAGTAAATAGGGTGACAGGTTTGTGCCACCATACCCGGCTAATTTTTGTAGTTTTTATAGATATCGGTTCTCATTATCATTATGTTGCCCAGGCTGGTCTTGAACTCCTGGCGTCAAGTGATTCTTCCACCCTGGCCTCCCAAAGTGCTGGGATTGCAAGTGTGAGCCACTTTTCCTAGCCCTAATCCATTTGCTTAAGCTATTCTATAAGATCTTTAAATATATGCTCATAACAAAATGATAATTTTAATACATTAGTAAAAGGGTAACAAAATGTTCCTAGAATACAGGTAGGGGTGGGTGGAAGGATAGAGATAATACTTCAATACTTCGTGGACTGAACAACCTTAGAAATACTCATTTACTTACCTGATCAAATGCAGGGAAAATATAATCTGCAAACTGAATTTCTGCAATGGCAGTAGCTCCAGTAACTGCAATTCCAATTCCAAATCCAACGATTCCTTGTTCACACAATGGGGTATTAAAAACTCTATCTTTTCCTTAAAATAGAAAAGAAGAAAAAAGGTTACGTGGCAAATTAGAGTAACCTTGTACATAATACATTTAAAAATTCAGTAAACTAATAATGGGATGGAGAAGTATAGAATAGGTAGAGGAAATAGAAAATAAATAGTATGGCTGGCCACGGTGACTCACCTCTGTAATCCTAGCACTTTGGGAGGCCAAGGCAAAGAGGATTACTTGAGATGAGGAGTTCAAGACCAACCTGGTCAACACAGTGAAACCCTGTCTCTATTTTTAAAAATAGTATGGTGAATTATTTAAATGAAAGTAATAATTATACTAATTGCAAGTAATCTAATGTTTCAATGAAAATAAAAACTATCTTGCTAGTATAAAAGACAGAAAAACCCAAAAAGTTGTTTAAAAAAAAAAAAAAAGAAGGAAAAAGTATAAAATAAAAAACCTAACCAAAAGAAAGTTGATGTCACTATATTAATAGCGGGCAAAGTAGACTTTCAGCAAAAAAGCATACAGGAGATGAAGAAGGAAAATGCATACTATTAAGGATTTAATTCACAAGAAATAAAACAATTTTAAACCCACACTTATCTAACAATGGAATGTTATCTAACCGTGGAGTGTCTAACAAAGGAGAAATAGACAAATTCACCACATAGTGGGAGATGATGTTTTTTATGTACTCATCTTAATAACTGACAAAAAAGGCATACCAAAAAAACTGAGGGAGTGTAAAAAAATAGAGATGATTTAAACATGATCAGTAAACATGGCCTCACTGACATAAAAGGACACTGCACCCAAAAGCAAAGAATACAAATCCTTTTCAAGTAAACAGAAAACACTGACATTAATTGACTGTATTCTGGACTACAAATCCAATGTCAACAAATTTTAAAGGACTAAAATTACATATATTCTCTGACCACAGTATAATTAAATTAGGAATCAATAATAAAAAGATAATTAGAAAAATTATTATGCTAGAAATGTTTTTAAATATATGGCTAAATAACCCACAGCTCAAAGAAGAAACTATGATGGAAATTAGAAAGTGGTACTTCAAATTCAATAATAATGAAAAACTATACATAACAGCTTATCAAGGTTCTGAAGGCAATATCAGAAATGCCTTTTTCGGACTATCCTTCCCACATGTAATCATTATAAACGCTGGGCAAAATAAAACAAACAACTATTTAAAGGCATTGAAGCGCCTAAAGCAGGCATAAACTGGAGTCTTGACTCTTGAAAGAAATTAAGTCCAGTGGATGACCAAGACATTCATAAGGCTTGTCCTGTGAAAGGACTCCCCAGTCTATGAGTTAGACAGCTAGAATTCAAACAGACTCAGTCTGGTTGATCTGAGGTGTCAGAAAATAGTCTGGGGCTACCAGTGGTTGAAAATGACAGACTAAATCCCTAAAAGAAGGGCACACGCAGCATGGGGGAGCCCCAAAGTCTGTGTATAAACTGATCAAATCCTTGCCAACACTTGTGCCTGCAGGAGACTCCAAAAGCCCAGCAGCAAATAATCTCTGCCAGTTGAAAGAGTTGTGCCCACCAACAAGGAGGTAAATTTTGGAGTTTGAGACTCTTCAAATTAGAGAAACCCTTCAGATGATCCATTCAAGCCACTAGGCACAATTATATTAGCGTATAATTCAATTCTCACTTGACATTCCACCACGTCTCAGCTAATGCAAGCATTTCGTTAGAAATTCTAATTTCAGGGTTCTGGGTGAACAAAGACAATAGCCACAGTCTGACCACATAACCAAATGTTTTGGGAGAAACCTGGTATTCATATTTCATTTCCATAATCCAAGGATACCAGTTCTTTTTCATATGTAGAATTCACTTTTAGCCTAATCATTCCCTTTGAATATGAACGAAACATGGGGCAGGTGCTGGGAAATGCCAACCAGACACATCCTGTAGTTTGCCACCCTATAAGCAGCTGCAAAAACTGAAAGCGTGATTCATACTCATCATGATCTGCGACTATCTTCTGAAATTGTGGCCTCTATTCCTCATCAATTCCCTATTTGACTGTGAGCAGCTTGATAATTTTTGAAAATCTATGATTCCATTGAACCAACAACAACTTGGTGGTATAAAATGAACATAAATTCCAGCTGTCTCCCATGGAATTCACAGCCCTGGAATAAATACCTGAACCACCTTAACCAAACTAGCAGCATTCTTATTGATTCCTTGCTACCTCAAGTTCATGGGATTCAGATATTTTTCATCTCGGTAAGAAATTATAGCCTTGTTGTCAATAGAAAGCAGAAAAAAAATGAGTTTCTCAGGACTTTCTTACTCCAAAACATGTTTGATTTGAGGAAATAGTTTAACAACTCTCTCTGACAAGTTTCCATTATGTAGCAACTTCAACATGAACTGTTAAAAATCTGTTTCTATTTTCTCCCAGATACTGATTGAGATAAGAACACAAATAAGATGCACATATTGATGACTTCCTCTATCTTATGATGCAATTAATCCAATGTAAAGTTCCTGTAGTGCCCTCTAAGTATCCTGATAGATGAACGAATGCATGCAGTGACTGTGCTATGAGCCAAGAGAGACCTGGGTTTAAGTGTTATATCCACGAATTACTAAACACTGTAAGGCTCCATCTCTTATGTGCAACAGAAAAAGTATAATATTCAAAAGACTAAAATAATTCATATATTTATTGAACAAATGTTTTTGAAGTACTTAATATTACACAGTTTCCTAACAGCAGCAAACAAAATGAAAAGATTCACATCCTCATGACGGATTCTAGTCAGAGGAAACAAAATAAATGAAGGAAACAGTTTGTTAAATGATGAAGCATGGAGTGGGGGGTAGGTGGGTAGAAACTACTGTGATTTTTAAATAAGGAGATTCGGAAGGCCCCACTGAGAGGTGGCAGTTAAGCAAAGGGCTGAAAGAAATGAGGATGGGTACCATGCATATATCTGAGAGAATAAATATTTTGGGCAGAGGGACCAGCAAGTACAAAACCCATGGGGTAAAAAAATGTCAAACACATTAGAGGGAAGGCAAGAAGTCCAGATTGCCTGGTCTAGAGTGAAAGAAAGAGTAAAGAAAGAGTAGTAGGAAATAAAGTCAAGGAGTTAAAGGAGGGAATGGGGAGATGACAGAGATCAGACAGGGCCTGGGAGGACATGACATTGTAAACACTTTTAAATGTGAGAATGAGTCAGAAAGCAGGTGAGTGAGGAAAACAGGAAGTTCTTGAGTTCATGCCATTCTCTGAGCTGCATTTCAGCAAGATGCCTCTGACTGGTGTTTTGTAAATAGCCTGTCAATAGCAAGGGTGGACACCACAAGATTGATTATCAGATATTACAATAATCCCAGTAAGAGATAATGATGCATAATAGCAGGGAAGATGGAGAAATGGTGTAAGACTCTGGATATATTCTAAAGATAGAGCTAAAAGGATTTGCTGATGAAATGGATGTGGAGTATGAGCCAGGGTAATACTAAGAATGATTCAAAGTCTTTTCGCCTGGGTAACCTGAAGGACAGAGTTTCCAGTAACTGAGAAAGGGAAAATGAAGAAGCATGTTGGGTGAGAGATCAGGAGCTCAGGTTTGGAGATGTTTACTTTGAGACGCCCTCAGATATTCAGGTAGAGCTATCGATTAGATTGTTGGATATAAATTGGAAGTCTTTTTTTTTTTTTTTTTTTTTTTTTGAGACGGAGTCTCGCTCTTGTTACCCAGGCTGGAGTGCAATGGCGCGATCTTGGCTCACCGCAACCTCCGTCTCCTGGGTTCAGGCAATTCTCTTGCCTCAGCCTCCTGAGCAGCTGGGATTACAGGCACGTGCCACCATGCCCAGCTAATTTTTTGTATTTTTAGTAGAGAAGGGGTTTCACCATGTTGACCAGGATGGTCTCGATCTCTTGACCTCGTGATCCACCCGCCTCGGCCTCCCAAAGTGCTGGGATTACAGGCTTGAGCCACCGCGCCCGGCCATAAATTGGAAGTCTTAAGCATAAAGATAGCATTTAATAACAAGGGATCAGATAAGATTACCTAGTAAATTTAAATGGAGAGAAAAGAAGAGATCTAAGATTGTATCCTAGATAATCCAAGGTTAACAAGATAAGCAGGTGAGATAATCAGCCAAGTTGAAAAGGAAAACAAGCCAGAGTTTGGAGGAAAACCAGGATAATGTGCTGTCTCAAAACAAAGTGTTTCCAAGAAAAGAGTGATTAACTTGTGTCTATATCACTATTAGGAAGTGAGATGAGGGCTGAGGATTTTATCATGGGTGACCTTAACATGACTGTTCCTGCAAAGTAGGAGAGAGAGGAGAAAGAGGAAAAAAAAACTTGATGGCAGTGACTTCAAGTCAGAATAGGGGAACAGTGGCAGAGAAATTGAAGACCATTGTAGCAGGGGCGGCCGCGGGAAATGGATCTCTCGGACACCAAATACAGGAGGAAGGAGTTTATTCAGCCGGAGCAAGGTAGCATATTCGCCTAACAGCCAAGTTCCCCTAACAAAGGAAGGTTCCTTCTTTATATAGGCTTATACTTTAGATGTTACACATGGAAGAATCTTAGGTTTAACATATGAATCTTAGCTTAACATATGAAAAGGGCCTCAGTTTACAGTCTTAGGAATTACATATGAAAAGGGTCTCAGTTTACAGTCTTAGGAATTACATATGAAAAGGGCTTCGGTTTACAGTCTTAGGAATGAAAAGGGGAAGTTTACAGTCTCAGGGATGAAAAGGGGAAGTTGATCTGAGATGCCTGGGTCTCCTTCTTCACCATGAGTAGTGACAATTATGTGGATTAACGTTGCTATAAAGGAGAGAAGAGACCAGGCGCACTATGGCTCACACCTGTAATCACACCACTTTTGGAGGATCACTTGAGCCCAGGAGTTTGAGACCATATAGCAAAACCCCATCTCTACCAAAAATACAAAAAAAAAAAAAAAAAAATTAGCCAGATGTGGTAGCACATGCCTATAGTCCCAGC